GGAATACAAATGAGTGAGGGTGTCAAAAGAGAAGGTGTAGCTCCCGGGGCCACTCCTATTCGGCAATAAATTTTATTTGCCCAGGGAGCAAGGATTGCCAAGAAGGATTTTTAGGGCTTTCTTTTTTTTTCTTAATCAAAAGGTTAAAATCAGCTTGGTTAAGTGCTTTACCTATATGAAATGTGTTGCTGGCTTAATCTTTCTATTTTACATCTTCTTGTTATGTATTTGTCAGAACTGAATTTTAAGATCCTTGGAGAAATCTCAGTACGCATCTGTGCCTGTGTTTGGGGAGAACTCTGAAGACAGGTTAGCTATACAACAGTCCTATTTCATAATTTTGTCAAAATTCAGATTTTTCTAACAACAGTAAAAATTAGAATTTTCCTCATGTAGCGCATGTAGTTGCACAACTGCCCATTATAAGGATTTACTTTATATATTTGTCACTTGTGCAAAGACTCTAAGCTGCTCTATAAACTACAGCTCAAGTGATGACCTTTCTACATGTGAAATTCATCTCAAGTTGCAAGAATGTAATAACATTTGAAATAAATGAAATTACTAATATGCTCAAGTTAAGCAAATGCCTACCTTTGCAAATGTAAACTAGACACTCAAGAAAGCAAATATGAAAGAGGAGTACATTTCTGTTTTGTCAAGCAATACTGTATTAAATTTTATATTCTTAAAGCTCACGTGTTTAATTTCTGAAGTGTTTTCAAAGATGTTTGTTTTTATGAACTGCTTGGAATCAATAGGAATTTTCATGGTTATGATCTTTCAATTTTTCTATGTAACTGTGTGAAAAGGAAAACTGTAGTGTTTAGGTCCCGGAGAGAAGATACAACCATAAGAGAAAATGCATTTTGAGGGAAAATTTTAACTTTTTGCCACAGTAGTAATTTGTCTTTGGATAATTAAACAAGCATTACTTCAGAAAATAAGCTGAAAATTGTCTCCCGCTGCCAGGAACTTCTTCTTGCTATGACTGCAGTCATAGTTACTTTTTCAGAGAATGAAAAACTTGATGTTTCGAGATTCTGATGTAGAAACCAGGCCTTCCAAAACATTGCTCACCAGGTTTAGCTTGTTAGAAGTTTGAACTGCGTGGTCCATCCAAGCCTAGTCCAGCGTCTTTTTAATTTGGATGTAATTCTCTTTATAACTATGGGTCAATTTCAGCACTGGTGTTTCCCTTGGATTAATGACTAAGTGATGAAGGAAGGTAAAGACTTTCTGTATGCCAGGGACTACTGTTAATTGCTTAGGAAATGTAACATTATTGCACTAACACTCTTTAGTTGGATAAAACCATGTGGATGATGTTTAGTTGGGTAACTCATGTGGATGACCCAACATAAAACTTTGAAGCTTGTGAGGGATGAGGGATGGTTGCAATTACCATAAACTGCACCAGAAATCTGAACAGAACATTGCACTCAAGATTTCCTTGTGATAAGAATCAAGGAAGTTTGCACTGCGGAGAAAGATTAGATGGGAGAAGATGCCAAAATGTGGCATGGGGATCTGCCTTTTTACAGTTCTAAAGTGAAATAATCTCTATCTAGTAGAAAAAATAATATAGCCTTCAACCTGCCAAGGGGCAGAAGCACGGCACAACCCTCCTGAATGTGTGACAGATGCACAAACTAAGGGGTGCCACAAGAAATAGTGGAGAGGAAGCTTGAAATGCTGTTGGGTGCATTTCTTTAATATAAATAAAGTTTTCCAAAACCTCAATTTCATGATTCAGCATTTCTTTTGGCACTGAAATTATAGTAACAATTTAAAAGTAGGCTAAACAAGTCTGAGGGAATATGCTGGTAAGTGCAGGCTGGAGAGGGGGAAGTCCCTGGAAGTAATAATAAAAAACTTAAGACCCCCTCCACCTCCAATAATTGCAGTTTAATTCTTTTAATGAGGAATGTATTAAAGAACTTTACAAATGTATAATAACTGTAACATCCTTACAATGCCTTCTGAGGCAGATATGATCATGCTTCTTTTCTGGATGAAAATACAATCCTTTGACCAAGGCCTGCTCCAAAAACAATGTCAGACCAAACAATACACTCCTTAACCTAATTATGAGACAGTAGCAATGTATATAGAGGAAGCAACTAAACTGAGAATTATATGTGGGGTAGATACTCTGGCCAATTCTTTCTTGCTGTCTGGTGTCTAAAAAGTCATAAGTTTTTGCTGCTTAACTTGAGATAATAGTGGAAACTGTGGGGGCTTAGCACTTTAAAAAATATGATGTCAGAAAGTTATCTATCTCATACCCTTTATAATAGATTTTATTATTTTTATTTTTGATTAAAAATATTTATGTAATATAAAAATATTTTTTATATATATTTTTTATCTGTAAGTTGGTCATGTGGGCTTAGTAAGTCAATGACTATTGGGCAGTCAGAAAACAGAACTATGGGGCTTGTGAATGTGTGCTGAACATCAACTTCAATTTTGCATGACTGTGCATGCCTGTTTCATAGGACCCAACCCTGTATTCCCTCAGGGTTAGGTTTTCCTAGAAGGGTCAGTGTCCGATACAGCAAAGCCAGCTGGGGGGGATGGGATAAGGATGCTGCAAAGCCTAAAACACACAGGAGAGCTGCTGCATATGCCATGCCAAGGAGGTGTTGCTGTCGGGGGGGGCCCTGGCTGTTGCTCTGCTCTGAAGAATGGCTGCAGAAATTCACCCTTTCCTCAGCTGACCTGCTGCCTGCTCACCCCAGCAGTGAGCTAGTGGCTGACTTGGCTTCCCTTCAGCCTACCTTAGGGGGAAGAACCATGGATTAAGCTGTAATGGCAGGGTCCCCTGTCCCTCTTGCATCTTCAGGTTACTTACTCTGTACAAGATATCTTTCCCTTTTCATAACTTTAAAGTCACAGAAGGGTCAGACCTGGATCCTAACATTGCAAAGGTCAGAGAATCTTATTTCGACATCAACCTCTTAATGTTGCTTTTTTTTTTTAAATGATTGTCGTGCCTTAAAAAGTCTTGATTTAAAGACATCATAATTTAAATATTTTATTCATTCAAGTAGAGGTGGTCCAGAAAGAAAAAATTGATCAAAACTTGCATCTTGGGGACTCAATGGTTCCAACCAGTGCTCCAGCTTTGTTGCTCAGTACCCAGAAGTAACGTGAACTAAAGCTACAGGTCTGAGTACTCCTGCTCCAAATGCTGTGAGTGGTTGGAGCTGCAGCTGCATTTTGTTCTTATTTTTTTTTAATAGGTAGTGCCACAAGACGTGCATGCTCTATGTTTGCAATACCTTGTCGCCATATCTATCAACGCCCTCGCCAAGCCATAAATAAAAAACCACAATTGGTGAATTTCTCATGGTTTGTTAACTTTGGAAAAGATGCACAAATACCTATTAAAGGCAGAATGAATCACCATGGAATTTCCATTCCACAGTAAACGTGCTATTTCATTTTGGCCAGGGAAAAGTTCTCCATTTCACCCTTTTTGCTCTGGCTTTAGTGTAGTTTATTGGAATGGCAAAATGAAACGCACTGATTTCATTGAAATGCAACATTTATGTAATTTTGCATTTACCTTTGTGATGAAGTTGATACATTCCTATAAAATTCTTTCATTTTGTTGTTCAGTCAGCATTTTCCAAAAGGAGCATTTCTAGAGGGAATTTTTTAACACTAAGAAGAAAGGCTTAAGTGAGTGCTCAAGATGGAGAGAAAGATAGTGGGGAAGACAGTCTGTATCCTGTTACTAACCTATTTATATATGGTGACTTCTGTTACTGTGAAACCACTTAAAACCAAGGTGCTGTGGCATGATCTGGGCAACTATCTTTACGTTACAGAGGCAGTCAACAACAGGATTTGATGGGCAAAGGAAATTACCCATATGATCTAATACTAGGCTGGAACAAGCTAAAGAGAGGAAAGGGTTTGTGGAGCTACTTTCTTGCAGGTGTTGAGAAACAGTGACGTTCTCATCACCCCAGCCAAAAAGCAGGATTGACAGCTGGGCAGCGTGGCAGGGGTTTTTCCAGGATTTGGTTGTGTAGCTGTCTCAGGATCCACTAGATCTTGCTGTATAAGTCTTGAACACAGCTATACCACTCTGGTCCTGCTGACTTGCTCAGAGCCAGTTGAAGCGTCACAGCATGGGCCTGGCTGGTACTCGGTAGATGTGACATGAGGCATCACTGAACATATAAGCAAGTTGTCTTGTTTTTTTCAAAGTATTACTACTTAAAATGTCACCTGTAAAGATGTAAAAAAATGAGCCTGTAAAGATGTTGAAAACTGAGCTGGAAAATGAAAAGTAAATAAGCTAAAGTGAAAACATATGGCAGGTGCAAGTTATATGCAAACTTTATAATGAATTCTGAAAATATACTTGAAGAATGAAAATTACAAATGTTTCTAGCCTGGATGGCACATATTAAGGATCCCTCCTGTATGCTCGATGATATTTGCCAGATCTAAAAGTACAATTATGCTGGTGAACTTTCATGAATCATGACTCAGTACCCTGAGTGTAATAATGGGTTGGTATCCTCAAGTCATTCTCTAAACTGTGCTTAACAGTTTCAAATGGGGGATGGATGAACTGGCTGTAGTAACTAAAATGCTGAACCTGAATCTATGGAAGCCATTCAAAGCAGACATGAGTTTCAGAGATCCGTGGATGATCAGATATCACAATTTTTTTTGCTTTTAAATGTCTTGCTTTCCACATCTCATCATCTGATGGGTCTGTGTAGGACTGGAAGCAAAAGTGCCCAAATTACATTTCTCTGTTGTTTCTGGCACAAATCAGATCAGGAATTATTGCAAGATTTCCAGCCCTTTTTTGCCAGACTGAGAGGTTGGGATAAGTTGGCGTAATTATAGGAACCCAACTTCCAGCCCTTGCCCTTTTGCCCAGAGCCTTGCCTGTCACATGGCAGCACGTGGCAAAAGCATTTAACAGCCTCAATTTGGTTATAACATTTCTTTCTGCTCTTTTTCTTCAGAGCTTTGTCATCTGTTGTGGCTTTAGGAGCTAATATCATCTGCAACAAAATCCCAGGCCTGGCCCCTCGGCAGCGAGCAATCTGCCAGAGCCGCCCCGATGCCATCATTGTGATTGGGGAAGGGGCACAAATGGGAATCAATGAGTGCCAGTACCAGTTTCGGTACGGGAGGTGGAACTGCTCTGCGCTTGGAGAGAAAACAGTCTTTGGACAAGAGCTTCGAGTAGGTAAGGGTGTCTCTAATATGGTGCTGAAGTGATGTGTTTGGGCTGGTTTTCTTTTTAGCTTTCTCACTGCAGTCTTGGAAAAGCTTATAACCTCCTGGTATTTGCCTACTGTAGTTCAACAGTGATGCTCCCGGAACAACTGCGGTCTGTATGTTTTCACTCATTGAAAAGTAACTGGCAAGAGGCACAAAATCTCTAGTGATCCGTAGATGAAGTCATTAATATTTGTCCAACTTCATACCCAGCAATGACCCAGATGCCTGCACAGGCATACAAGGACACTGTCATCACACTTTGTGAAAAATATTTCCAATTCTCATACTTTTAGAGGCTGCCATGATAACCATGGTACATATTATGACCAATAAAAAGGGAACTAGAATTAACTCTAAAAATCCCTCTGCAGACCTCCCAAAAGCTGAAGCAATGAGAGAGTCCGACTAACTGATGGTGTACAAGACACTAGCTTTACAGTACATGGCAGTGATACATATCCATTTTAGTGCTGCTAACATACTGTAAAGAAAATACTGCAGGTGATTTGAGGTAGGAAACCCAATCAAAAAAATAATACAGGACCCTGGCCTGACAAGCTGTTAGCTGGTAGAAGTTAAATTGATCCCTTTCCATTTATCCTGTATATGATATTATTTCATAGGGGAGATTATGCAAATTTTTCCAGTATTGAGATTATTATTTTCCTCATCACCCAGCTGAGTATCCTTAGCTTACTCCTGACCTTTCCTCTCTTTCCCAAGGGCTGCCCATTTACCCTTCCCTGTACTGTCTGCTGCTCAGTGTCAGGATAACATTTTGTAGTGTGTGGCTCTCACAAGGGTGCTCAGAGTGATATCTTCCGACTTCACAGTGGGGTTGTAGCCTGTTCTTATGTCTGATCCTTCTTAAGGTGACACCTTTTTCCCGAGTTCAATGGTTTGGGTGAGTCTTGTGCCTCCAACACAACTAAATGTGGTCAGACATAAGAATTCATTAAAACTGTGTGGAAAAAAGACATAACATTTCATCCCATCTGTGCAAAAAGGAAATGACTTACATGACACTTTGGTTGTTACTGGAGATCAAGGTTTTTTTTCTTTCCAACACCCTTGTGAAATGGACAGCAAAAGATGAGGTACACTTGACTCAGTGATCAAATTAAATACTTTTCAAAGAAAGTGCAAGTCTGAGAGTCTGGCTGAGGTCTGGGGTTTTTAAAGGCACAGTGGCCCAGCTGTAAAGTGTTATAATGAAATAAATCCATTAACATCAGGGAAACTGACCTACACCCATACAGAATCTGTCATATTCTGTGAGTATTACAGTATTCTGTAATACAGTATTCTGTGAATATTACTCCACACCAAATCACAGAAGTGGAGAGGGTTAAAACTAATAATAAAAAGACTGAGTAAACCAAATCAATTGCAAAAGAAAAGTCTGAACTTTCTGAACTTCAGGAAAAGAGTTAGGTAGAATTTGGTTTTGATTCTGTAAAGGTGGTGGTGAGGCCTTTGCTCATTAGTGTCTCTTCACCCATTTGTCCTAAGATATTTTAAATTCTGTTTAGATAACACTTCTTGTGTAACTTTTGTTTCTTAAAGAGTGTGAGTGGAACACATCAAACATTCTCAAGACAGCATGTACAGGAAATAACCTAACATTTGACTTTTACCTTCAACTTTAAGTGAATCAATGAAACATTTAGCAGGTTCTCTTGACTATGAGAAGCACAGGTCTGGTCCTCCTTGGTTGGTCTTATGCTTTCTTGTCTTAATTTGATGTCCAAACTGATGATGTTGTCAGAAAATACATAGCTGCTAAGCAGGCTAGCATTATAACTTTTCATGCTACGTTGTCTTGATCTGCCAAAGCTTGCAGCCATGCTCTGACCCTTGGACAAATAAATTCTCTTAACTTCAGTGATATCACTTATGTCCTTGAAGTGGCATACTCTGAAGGGTTATACCAGAGTCGGTGTCATCACTAAGATTCCTGGTGAAAAGGCTTTCATCACTTCTACTCTCTTCTTGAAGCTGAAAATCTTGTGGCACCTCATCAGTTCTGTCCTTGTACTCATGAGCAATAATCCTCTTCCCCAGGAACTCCTTTCATTCTCTGAAACCTTGAAAGTGAGTGCAGTCCAAATGCCTGAGGAGGACTACAAATCATGCCTTTGCTATAATTCTTAGCATTTCTATAGAAAATAAGATCTACAGGGAGCAAAAATTGTTTGGCATCAGGATGGACTGGCTATCAGGTTGGTCAGAGTATACATAGTTTGAAAAATCCCAGTGTTTTCTTGAGCCACTTTTCAGGCCATGTTTGCCAAAATGTTCACCATATTCTTGACCTCTTCACCGAACCTGGGTGGTTTCTTGGAAGTCTGAAATGACTGATGTGAAATTTGGTGGGTTCTTTTATGGCTTAACCCAAACACAGATGAAACTTGGCAGTTGCAGCTGAGTTCTGCTTTGACATTTGTTGGGTGTGAAACCACACATACTGTAGCGGATGGAGGAGGTTTACATGACCCCTGCCAGCTGAGCCAGATGAGTTCCATGCAGGTCTATAAAGGATCCCATAATCCACATGTCTTTATTTGTTTTATTAGTGGAGGAGCACCCAGAGATGATGTGGTCAGTATTTAGGAAAAGGACAGGGTTCAGGAAGTGGTGTTATTACACTGGGGGTGGGGAGGGAATAAAAAAAGGACAGAGCTAAAAAAAAAAAAACCCAAAACCCACTTAAAGGTACCAGATACTTGTAAGCATATATATTCACTTGTGTAACAAAACACATCTGCGTCTGACACGTACAGAAACACTAAACCAGACATTTGGTTCTGCCTGAAGAAACTGAAGAAAGGATTGACACTAAAAAAGACAGGCGTGTTTTTCACTTCACACCAAAGGAAAGCTCATTTAAATTATTCCCAGAACTGCTTAGGGATATGAATAATCATAGAATCATATCATAGTTTGGGTTAGAAAGAACCATTTTTATGGGAAAGAGGACCTACTCTTTAGCCACTAGGCCAAGGCTCTACCGCTAGCACTGACAAGTGCAGATTTACAGCTATTCTAATTTGCAACCCCACGCAACACTTCTCCCTCAAAATTAAAAAAGCAAACCTCCAGACTCACCCAACATGCGGCTTCTCCAACAGCTGTACATCTATTGCCAGTACCGTTTCCTGGGTGCCATTATGCTCCAACCATGCATGTCTTCCAGCCACACCAAGCAGCAGCCAGAAGGCATGACAGAAGAGCAAATGTCAATCCTTGTGACTTCTGGGGATCCTACTATGCCAGAGGAATCCCCTGTGAGTTACCTAAGCTGGATTAGTGATGAGCTATTTTTTCAAAGTGAATGAGGGCTGTACCACCTATACAGTATCTGGGAGTCTGTACTAAAAACAGTTAAAATAAATAGTTTGGAGGACAGAATAACAACTGCAGAAATTATGTTAGGCATCGGGTATTCATTTTGGTATAAAAGATTTATAGCAGTCAAGACAAAAAGTGACAGAGAGATACAAATTAGTAGCATGAACAAAGGATGTAGCATGGAATGAATTAGCCAAGCATTGTGTTTAGCTTTATTTGGTATATTTATAGCTGGGAACTTTTCTGTAGTCTTGCCATCCCCAAAGAAAAGTCATTACTACATTCACTTGACCCATCCTGTTCCTGTACATGCTTGTATTTGTCACCTTCCTGCGCTCAGTTTTCATGCCAGCTTCTCATATAAGGTCATCTTTTCCACTCTCCAACCATTCCTCTGGCTGTAAGCCTCTTTAAAAAATTACTTCTGTAAAGATAACCTCTTGGGTTCAAAAATTAATTGGTTAACGATATATCAATTGTTATTATTGATGAGTTGAAAGAAAATTGTCCTAACTTTTTGAAGGCAAGGACTCAGATCTAGAAAGCAAAGCCTCTGGTTGTATCAGGTTATTGATGCAAAAGAGCACTAGAGACTGGTGCCTATTCCCACAAATGATGGCTGAAACAATCTATCATGTAAGTAGCTCTAAAAGTTACAGATAATAACAGTTGGGAGCAAATAACTCCACACAAAAAAGTAAGGATTGCAGCTTCTGAAATATGGAGTCAGAATCACTCATGGAACTGAAATCTGCTGTTGTTCCTTGACAGTGGATTATGCTGGCTTATTATTTGTGCATTGACAATTTCTGCTGAAAGTCTCCAAATTGATGTGCATATAAACAGACTGCTCTTACTAGTGCCAAATCCAGGGCAAAAATGAGGTGTTTTGAGAAACAAAGCTGTCAAGATATAAAAAGTAATCTGTAGATACCTCCTTTTCAGACACATGATGTGGAAAATGATCATGATTTAGTAGTATTCATTTGGCTGTACCATTGATTTGGCAAATTGTTGAACTGGACACCTGACAGGGAAGAATCAACAGATAGAAAAAACCCAAGAGTTCTGATTATTATTATTATTTTTTTAACCTTTGATGTTTTATATTGATCTGTATTTTTCTGGCACGTTGAAAGGCTGCATCTGAAGTGATGCTACCAGCCTGCTTGCTGTGTGAAGTTTAGGAGAGCAATGTCTTAAGCAGCTTCCTGTAACCACACATTTGCTCAGCTTTTGATCCGTGTTCCAGGCAGAAAAGATGAGGGGTGGGAGAGAAAAATACAGTTTTAAAGGCTGACAAAATCTGTTCATGGATTTTATTAACTCACAGGTGAAGAAGACTGCAAATAATTTTGAGAAAGACAATCAGAAAATAAAGTTGGACTTCATGGTTATATACAAGCATGCACTTGTACACATGCACACATAAAGTGCTAAGAAGACAGCATACATTTGAACAGAAGACCAAGAAAGGGAGGGGAACATCTTCTCAAAGAAAGATACTCATTAAAAAAAGTGATTCCATTTATATTTGCATGGGAAGCAGGTAACTAGTCCACATTGGATCCCAGTGTTTTAGCTGCAGGCCTGAAAGTACAAGGGAATTGGGCA